TCTCACCGGCTGAGGGTTGACTCAGCCTTCCATCCTTCCGAGGTGGGTAAAATGAGGACCCGGATTGTTGTTGGGGGCGATATGCTGACTCTGTATACTGCTTAGAGAGGGCTGAAAGCCCTATGAAGCGGTATACAAGTCTAACTGCTATTGCTATTACTATCAGTACCAGTTTCAATTGTAGGAAAACAAACTGACAACGTAAGAAATTCTCAATTGGCTGTTTAACATTTCCTGGCACTATAACCGTATTCATGTCCTACAGCATTCAAGAAGTAGTTAAACTACTTCAACTATCAGGACGACGTTTTGCTTAGAAACTCCACCGATCAAAAAACGAGACAGATTTTTCCTATATATTATTCCTGCTAAGATGACTTATATACATTTCAAGCATCACAAAAAACAGTGCAAGGGACGAGAGTGAAGTGAGAATTTGTTAAGGCATCAGGACGTATGTTTTCACCAGCACCGATCACTTTTCCTTTGATATCGGAGTGCTAAATTAACAATCTAGTTCCCTTTTCTCCAAATCCCATTCGGAGACCTCCAACAAACTCAGCTGGACTTCTTTCGAAGTAGATGTGTGAATGATTGTACCGGACAGGGAACTGGGAAATACTTCCGTTTGAAAACCCCTCGCCCACTGCTTTGCGGGGTCCCACAGGGCTTGGTATGCTCTACGCCTCTGTTTAAGATCTACATGAAGCCGTTGGGTGAGATCATCCACCACCATGGACTGAGATATCATCAATATGCTGAGGATACCCAGCTGTCCGTCTCAGCCCGTGGGGAGTTAAGTGACGCCATGACCTCCCACTCCCTCTGGCAGTTCCTGGAGGCTGCCAGGGGCTGGAGGGGGAGCAACGGGTTGACACTGAACCCCGGCAAGACCGAGTGGCTCTGGGTTTGGGGTTCTTTGGTGGCTTGGGAATTCTGGGCATTCACATCCACTCATCTTAAAAGTTTCAGTTTCAGTTTATTATATTTATATGCCGCCCTTTTCCCCCCGAAGGGGACTCAGGGCGGCTCACAAACTCAAACCAGGGAAGGGGGATACAGACAAAAAATTAAAAAAACAAAGCAAACAATGCATAATTTAAAACTCACAACAGTCATACCATTCG